CGAGTCCCCGCGCGCCGCCGCCCTAGACCCAGGGCCCGAGGCCACGCCGACCCTCGGGTAGAGAACTGCCCAGCAGAGCCTGGCCTGGCGGAGGCAGGACGGCGCCCTCTTAACGGCACAGTGGGTGCCTGAGGGCCGGGGCCCCTTGCGGCGGCGACCTGGAGGGCGACTGCAGGATCCTGACACTCCTGTTCAGCTTTTGTGCGTGTGCCCTGGCCTGTGTCTCTACTGGCTGATCCTCCTGGGACCACCATCGGAGCTGCCTTGCACTGGTATTTCTGGACCATGACCCTCAGCTAAAAAGAAAAATCCTGTTTCTGCCCTTACACGTAATTGAAACAAGCCTCATACTTGACTACCTGCGGTGCGTGGAGGTGTGTTCATTTAAAAAGGGCCAAGTAGGCTGCGCTAACGGGGTCCGGCCCCCTGAGAACAATTTCTTAGTAATATCCAGAAATCTGAGTTCTTGTCTCTTGGGTCAGCTTATTCGGGTAGCAATGGAAAAGTGAATCCGGGATGCTTTTTGAGTCGGCGACCCACTCTGTGGCCAGGTTGGAGTGCCAGTGGCATGCTCACGGCCACCGCAGCCACAACAGTCTGGGCTCAGGGGATCCTTTCGCCTCAGCCTTCCGAGAAACCGGAACTACAGGCGCTGCCACCATACCCAGCTAATTTTTTTGATTTATTGCAGAGACGAGGTCTTGCCAAGTTACCCAGGCTGGGCTCAGGCAATCCTCTCGCCTCCACCTCCCAAAGTGCTGAGATTACAGGCGTGAGCCACCAGGCTGGCTGCAGCCATTTTTCTTGAGTTGGAGTCACTCTGTTGCCCAGGTTGGAGTGCAGTGGCACACGCACATCACCCATGTCGACCCGCTGGGCTCAGGGGATCCTTTCACCTCAGCCTTCCAAATAGCTGGAATCAGGCGGTGTCACCACACCTGGCTTATTTTTAATTTATTGTAGAGATGTGGTCTCAAACCGGTAATCTCAGGCAATCCTCTCACCTCGGCCTCCCAAAGTGCTGGGATTATAGGCGTTAGCCACCACACCCAGCCTGCCAATTTCTCAAATAGGCAGTTAATAAAAGGTTTATTAAAACTTGGGCCCTGGATGATTTTGAAGATATATTAAACAATTATGGTGGCTCACACCTGTAATCCCAGCACTTTGGGAGGCAGAGGCGAGAGGATTGGCTGAGCCCAGGGGTTCAAATCAACTTGGGCAGCTTGGCAAAATCTTGTCTCCACAATAAGTAAAAAAAAACTACCCAGGTGTTGTGGCGTGTGCCTGTAGTTCCAGCTACTTGAAGGCTGAGGCAGAAGGGTCGCCTAGGCCCAGCAGACCAAGGCTGCAGTGGCTGTGAGCATTCCACTGCACTCCTGCCCAGGATAGTGTGAGACTCCAACAACAAAAGTGAATTCCGAATCTTTTTTTTTTTTTTTTGAGTTGGAGTCTCTCTTGTCAACCAGGCTGGAGTGCAGTGCACCCACGCTCATGGTCACCCAGCATCAAACAGCTGGGCTCCGGCAATCCTGCCTCAGCCTTCCAAGTAGCCAGAACTACAGGCATGCACTACTATGCCTGGGTAATTTTTTGATTTATTGTAGAGATGTCTGGCCAAGTTACCCTGGCTGTTCTTGAAACTGTGGGCTCTAGCAGTCCCATTTCCGCCGCCCAAAGTGCTGGGATTACAGGCCTGACCCACCGCACACGGCCCTGAAGCATTTTAAAAAGCCACACCAACCAAAATTCTAGAAATCTTGGCTCTGGAATCAGTTGGTTCTGGAAAGGGGCTAGAGGATTAAAGCAGAAGACTCTCACAGCCACCTTCCAAAGTCATTCTTTAACTTAATAGGCCATGTCATGTGGCTCACTGCACCCACTTTTGCTCCCTAAAACTAGATTTTACTTTTCTTACAAAACCTAGAACATACCTGGTGTGTGTTGACTGTCACAAACAATCCACACTAGCATACTCCAACACACAGGTTATATAACAGGTCTAGCTTTTCTCAGTAACAAGGATAGTCCCACTTTTCCAGGGAATGTTGTATCATGGTACATTATACAGAAGTGCAAACATTTTATGGAAACTTTTTATTTATATAGAATTATAAATGACAAACTTATTTTGCCTAGTCCTTTTAAACACCACTGAGGCAGACAAACTGGAGGACATTAGCTTCATTTTAGAGGTATGACTGTAAACACTGTTCCCATATTTAGTATACGACAGAGCTGGGATCTAAGAACTAGACTTTCATACTCACAACTGCTTTTTTCCTTAGACTGTGATACATCATTTTAAAGAAATCTGATTTCACAATGCTTTACAGAATGAGTAACCTCTATCCTTGGCAGGTTAACTCTGAAGCCAAGCAACCTAATTAATTATCTCATAACCTGGCACATCTTAAGGCAGTTATACCTCTAACTCAATTTCATAGCTGTGCTTGAGGGCCCCTTGAGCCAAAATTACAGCAAAGCTGATCTGAAAGGACCAGGGAATACAATAGTCAATCATGTTTTCAAGTTTAATCTAGGCCTGGCACATCCTTACCAATTGCTCATCTGGCAAGTTGAGGCAACTAAGGGAGGGAAGCAGAGGGAAGATTCACTCAGGGATGGACACTGACGAAAAATACAAATGGTATCAACATCCCCAGAAGCCCTGTTGCTGGTCTACTACATCAGTACCAGCAAGACAAA